CTTGACGGGTGGTCGGTCGACTAGCTCAATTAGTTCTTCACCTGGCGCCAGGGTTCCTAAAATGCTCGAGCCCAAATGAGAGGAAAGCCTCTCCCAATAGGACCCTGTGGTCCTCCTTGCGAGATTCCCAGAATGAATCTCCCTGGGGATTGGCCGAATCCCCGCCGCGGCCCAAATGGAACACTCAAGTTCCTCCAAATGAGGGTCTGGGATCCCCTCCCAACGCCTAGGACTTGGGATCGCCCCTGCTTTCTCGCAGGCAGGTTCTGTCTCTCGAGAAAATGAAATCTCGGTGGGACCTCCAAATGTTAGGACCCGGAATCCTATTCCCCGAGAGACAGAGAGCCAGGCGTGAATGCAATCAACAAAGCAGAATTTATTGGGCTGGCTAGCCAGGGTCGAGCTCCCACACGGACACGCAGGACCGGTTAGGAAAACACGACCCTGAGCCTCTTTAGGGGAAATCTTATATAGACCGCGGTGGCGTGCATATTTTCGTTATCAACATTGGGCAAGCAGGCAGAGCACATCTTGCGCGTACCTCACATCTTGCACGTACTTCACATCTTGCATGTACCCCCCGCTCACATTCCCCACATTCTATATGCCCTAACTGAGCCCTGCCGCATTGCTTATCTTATCTACATGGGATGTTTGGTACTGGTTTCTCCAACAAGGGGGTTGGGGCCCGCTGAGACCTCCTATTCCTTTCAGGTCCCTTGAATTTTCTTCTCCTTGCTATTGGATTCTGTTGTCTTGACTGATAGGTTTTTTTTTTTTTTCTCTCCATCTTTGCAACTCTAATCTGCATAATTAGAGTAATCACAATTATTGATTCATGACAAACCACCAACTGTCCCTGTGTGGCATTTTACTTTAATTATATTTAAATGGCAACTTATGAACACATTCCCTTGTCCTGAGCAGTGTTTGTCCGGTTGCTTTATCCTTCTTTCTCTACCTGTGTGGTTGAGCGATGCAGTGTTTCATTTTACATGGCTTTGGACTTCATGAAGAAGTAACATCCTTGGTTTAAATAATAGTACCCCCTGTCCCTGGGCGGGGGGATACCTGCCAAGTTGTTCCACAGATGGCTGAAACTGCAGATAATACTGAACTCTACGTGGACTATGTTTTTCCTGTACATACATACATATGATAACATTTAATTTATAATTTAGACGAAGTAGCAGATTAACAACAATCGCTAATACTAATATGATAGAACAGTTCTACCCATATACTGTCACAAAAGTTATTTTAAACTTATGACTTGCTTATTTCTGGAAACTTCCACTTCATATTTTTAGACCACGGTTGACTGTTGGTAACTGAAACTGTAGGAAGCAAAACCACAGATGAAATGAGGCTCTCGCATACAGTCTCAAAATTTGCTGTTTTGCTCAGTCATCCATGGTGCCACTGCTGTGCAATATTTTGACTTGTGATTATACTGCAGTTTGTCCATAATTTACATTATCTTCAGACATTTAGGCATTTCTGTGTCTTCCTTCTATGACCAGATCTGCTTGTAAGTATTCAAGTTTCCTGTATGTATGGGCTGAGGTTTCCCTTGTGCATTTATCAGTAGGTAGATGAGCACCTATGATGGTTCACTTTCACAAGACATGCGAAAGTGCTTTCTGAAGTAGTTGTACCAGTTTATCCACCCACCATCAGAGTAGCAAAGATCCCAGTATTCACATCTGCACCTACTGTTTATTTACAGGCATGAATTCTTTCCAGTTTTGTGGGTATAAATCTTCTAATAGACTAAAAGTTATCTACCTCATAGGAAAAAAGTAGGAAATAAAGATTTGATTTTCTTCACATTTAAAGACTAAAAAGCAGTAATTTACCATGCCTGCTTAATTTAATGACACCCAAATATTTCTCCCAGTTATCGTACTGCATGTAGTTGACATTCTTTTCCCACACTTGCTAGATATGGTAAAACCTGGCTGCACAATGAAGCACTTGGGAACTTTTTAAAAATACAAATGTCTGGATCCCATCTCAGAGACTCATTTGTCTGGGGCGCAGCTTTGAACATGGGGAGTTTTAAAAGCTTCCCAAGTGATGCTAATGTGTAGTCAAGGCTGGGAGTCACTGCTCTCAATGAGAGAAATCTCCATAACAAGCATAAGCTTAAGTGAGCCTGACACTGATAACACTTCTCATTTCTGCAGTAGAAAGTTTGTGTTGTTTTGAACAATTCTTTTGCCTCTTATTTCAAGTTCAGCAGCCTTTGAGGATTTTCTTTTAGAAGAGGGGGTGCTTGTTGTTGAATAGTAAGTAGTAGTCATTCAATGAAAGTATGGCTAGCAATTGTGTTTGGCACCCTTGTTCTTATGCTGACGTTTGTAGATCTTCAGAAACACCAGGGAAGTGTTGGGTTTGTTTTTTGACAATGCAGACTTTGATCTAAAGGTCTGGGCGTGAGCCCAGAGACCTGCACAGTCATCTTGTAGCTGCTCATGGTTCTTGGATCCCTTTGGAGAACACTGCCTCATCATAATCCTACAAGGTACATAAGAGAATGTGAAGTTCAGAGACGTTAAGAAACCTCCATCAAGTCACACAGTCACATAGGGAGTCACACCTTTGCTCTGTTTATCCTCAGCTCTGTGCATGGTGTGACACCAACAATCTCCTAGAACTGGGGAAGTTGACCAGCATGTGGAGTGACATTCTTTCATCTCTGTACTGGCATGCTTTCCTAATCTGGGATGACTTTCTCTCCTCACCAAGAAATAACCTTTAATCACCTAGCAAAATCCACCTCACTCCTGTGGAGCCTCGTGTGCACTGATCTCTAAACATGGCCCTGGCTGCCTGGTGTTTTGTACAGTGTGTCTCATGCTAGAGATTTGTAAAAGCAAGTGTTTGCTTTTAGGCTTGCATGTGTGAGTTTCCTTTATCTCTGCTTTTGACTATTTGAGACACTTTGGGCTGCCAGGGAGAGGACAGCACCCCAAGCAGGCAGAGGAGAACTCGTTGGGTAGTGTAACAAAAAGCGGGGCAGGTGCATTTGGGACCCAGGGACCGCTCAACAGTCAGGACCCCAAGCCTCTATCCCTGTCAACACGAAGCATCCCCTGACTGCCTTCTGCTTAGTGACAGATGTAGCCTTTGGCCACACTGGAAAGTGAGTAGATAGCCTGTCCTAGCTCAGGACTGCATAACCCTAGGAAGGCCCTGGCTTGCTTTTAGCTACATGACTGACTTGGGATCAGTTAACTGTGTACAAAAGGTACACAAAAGGTACTTCATGGTAAGGATGGAGAAAGGAGTAGTTTTCTCATAAAAAGAGGTGGGGGGTATCTGTCCCAGATAAGGGTCTAGGGAACTGCTGGGCAGCCAAAGCAATAGATGTCTAATTCAGTGTGTTGATATTTGAAGTCATATGGTGCCTCTGTGTATTTGGCTTTTTGTGTAGTTAAAGTGTTGAACTTTACTTACATATAAGTAATGTTCTTTGGGTATCTATCCCTATAGATACCCAAAAATAAAGCTAAAAGTATTTAATTACCTGTCATAGACTCAGTTCTCTTGATTTTGTTTTTAAGATGGATTGATTTTTCTTTTTGAGAAAACTGTATATAGAGAATTTCTTATTAAAAACTGAGTTTGCAAAAAAATCAAGTGTGTAATATTTTGCTTCTTATTTGGCCCTAAAATAATAGCTTTAGTTGGCAATGATTTTCATGTAGCCTTGAGAATCATTTCTAAACTCATGTACAAGTGGATGGAAATATTTCTGTACATATCTAAAAAACATATTCAGTGGATACTTTTCTTACCCCCCAAATTAGGACTTTAACATGAAATCTTGGCCTTTGGCCTATGTATTTTTAACTGTGTTCATGTTTTTATATATCTACAACCATCTGTAATGCAGCTGTTCATGTCTACATGAAACACAGTATGCTCTTAAGTTTTATCTCCATGTGTGAACAGATGATAGCCTGCCAAGGAAACATCACAATGCTGTTGTGTCAGCATTTTGCCATGAAAACCTCATAATCACCATCGGTCATATACCCCTCTCGTGGTACATGTAGTAAAAGCAATGTTATTGTATGTACAGGCATTGTACATATATCCTTTGTGTACGTTACTGTTTGGAGCTTAAATGTCCCCCAAAGGTCCATGTGCTAAAAGCTTGGTTATCAGTCTGTGGCACTATTAGGAAATGGTGAAATCTTTAGAAGGTGGGGCCTAGTGGGAGGAAGTTAGGTCATTGGGAGCATACCCTTGAAAGGAATATGGGGACCCCACTCCCTTCCACTTTCTCTTCCTTTGTTTCCTGGCTGTCATGAGATGAACAAGTGCCTCTGCCATATACTTTTGTATGATGTTCTGCCTCACTCCGGGCCAAAAAGCGACAGAGCCCAATGACCATGGACTGATGCTTCTAATCTGTGAGCCAAAATAAACCTTTCTTCCTTTTAAGTTGTTTTTCTCAGGTATTTTGACACAATTATGGAAAGCTAACACAATATGTAAAGACAATCCTTTTCAGAATGAATGTTTGTATAGGCACATTTCTATCTATTCTGTGGGATGTATCAAGCATATATTCCAGTTTGTATCTGTAGCTGCTAGAGGAAGAGGACTAGAAGGTCTGTGGTTCCACTCTTGCTCAGTTCCCATCTGGGAATTCCCAAGTGCCTTTGCTCCAGGTGAAGTACTAGTACATGCAAAATGTATCACTTGAAACCATTTCCAATTACAGCACTCAACGACTGAGATCCTTCTCCCAGCATGTTTTGTTCTACTGGCACCTTTTTCTCTCTTAGGTGTTCTCATTTTAGCTCATCAACTAGCAGCCTTGACTTAGTGAGTTATTCTTGAATGACTTCCAAATGTTTCATTCCTGGGCCCATCAAAGGTCATTTTATGCTACTTACTGCACACAGTTGGTCCAATGTCAACAGTTTAAGAAACAACCTGCTACCTAGGACCTCTTCAGGTTCTCAAAAAATGAAAATGTCACTCTTTGTAGGACTTCCATTTGTCTCAGCAGTTAATGCAGGATCAGCGCCACACTTGCCAGTACTCCTGAAGGAACAGCTCCCATTGCATTGGGTTGTACTTCTAGATCACACCATCTCTGCATGCCAGGAGGCCAGTGTGACATGTATGAGTGACTGCCAGTGAATCTGCTATGGTGCCAAGGTTTGCTTATTCCATGGGATGCTGGTTATCATATTGTTAGTTCATGATTTCATTTGCTTGTTATTTCCATGTAAGTATTTCTAGTGTACCGGTATTGGCTTGAGGAGGGGTGATTGTACTCAATTCTTGTTGAAACTTCAACAAGGCTCTTACAAACTTGTGTTAGAATAACCAACTTTAGAAAGTTGTCTTTAAGGTGATGCAATGAAAGAGCTGGCCATTGGGTGTACGTACTGAGGTGGTTCTCTCTTGATAGGTGTGTATGCTCATCCATACTCTCCAGTGTCCCAAGGGTTGCTTAGGTTTGAGGGCTCCCTCTTTGGACATGAGATGATGACAACATTCTAAAATCATATCATCATCAAAAACATTTTTACATCCATTAATTCATTTATTCTTTAGAAAACCCTCTCTATAGGGCAGATATAAAAAAGTATTTTTAAAGTGTTGTTGAAGAGTATCACAAAACTTGAGAAAAGAAGATATAACTAATGATGACTTACTCTGACTTGACAGATGAAGAAACTGAATTTCAGAGATATTGAGTCACTTTCTTATGTTTCCATAGCTAGTGAGTGGCTCAACAAATTGCTTCTCAACCCAACAGTGGTTGCATGGATACAAGCACAGCATTGTTTGAGACCTGACTCGTACTTTCCACTGATTTTCCCAGGGAAATCAGAGCAGTATGCTAGTTTTCTAGCTTTTCCAATACCTGCATTTGGAAGCCTCGTATATATGTGTCTACTTCACCATTTAACGTTCTCCTCATGCAACTTAGAAGGTTTTAATTGGAAAGAAGAGTGGGGATATTGTTTGGGAGAGAGTATGGTAAGAACTTGTCATGTGATGGGTCCCATAAAGACATTCTCATTTTACTGTAAAATACCCTGGCGTGTGAAGCAGGTACCATATTATACTTTAAGCGTGATAGTACTATGTTTTGAACATGAGCTTCAGAGGGAGGTCTGTTTCATTATCACTCAGTCACAGCATGTGTTACCTCTTGTTATGGACTGAAAGCTTGTGTCCCCTGCCCCCATTGTGTTGAAGTTCCAACCTCCAATGTGATAGCATTTGGAAGTGGGGCATTCAGGAATTAATTGGGATCACATGGGTCCTGATGGGGGTGTGGGGTTGTCATGATAAGATTTTTGGCCTTATAATAAGAGCTCTCTCTCCTCAACCCCTCCTCCCACAATGTGAGCACAGAGGAGAGATCATATGAGGACTCAGTCAGAAGTTTGCTGTCTGCAAGTCAAGAAGGAAGGGCACACTAGAAACCAAGTCCTGTGGGATCTTGATCTTGAACTTTCCCGACTCCAGAACTGTGAGGAAATTAATTTCTGTTGGTCAGCCATGCAGTATAGGGTATTGTGTTATGGTGATTGGAACAGACTTAACACCTCTGCTATAGTGTGTATTGTTATCTGTCAGCCGCTCCCTGGTTTGCCTGACTTACCCATTTTCCATGTGTCTCCATGAAGGATGAGGTGTGGGTGATCACATGCCTAAGACCTCCCTTCCCTATCAGACCCTAAGCCTTGAGGGGACACTGAGCCAGAACTCCGGCAGGTGCAGTCACTAAAGCCTTTCCATGAGGTCTTGGTGACTGAAAGACTACTCTTACAGGAATCAAGAGTCAGGAGAGTGCTGATGTCTACAGGTCTGGGTAGAATGTGACAGCTTAATGCAATTTTGTATGATATATAAATAATTTCCCTGTAGGTATTGAGTCATTCATTCATTTGCTGTGCATTTCTAAAATGAATTATCTTTTTTAATATTCCTGTCCCCTGTGCCCAGCCTCCAATATATTTTTTTTAACTACAGCTCATCTGCTTTTATGAAACCTGACTTATAAATGGCTGAATACTACAACATTCCTCACTTTCATCCTATCTGCCACATCTGTCATTTGCTTCTGAAGAGTACTTCGTCAATCAGGTACAAATCTCTAGATGGACACAAACTTTCTTTTTAGCTATTCATTAATCTTATCTTGTTCTTCTGGTTTCTGGGTCATTTTGCTGAGGTTGAAATCATCTGAGGTCACAGCTTGTTTTTATCCAAATAGATTGGGTGCAGTTAAACCTGGGTTACAGCCAAGAAAGATCTTACATCAAGTGCCTGCAAATTGGGAAGCATTGCCAAGCAAGCATCAGCATCAGGTTTTGCTTACTGGAGTTTTATTCTCGGATAAATTTTATGCATTGGCAATGGAAACTTTTGGTTGCTATTGGTAGAACAGCAAGGAAATATAGCATTGTTAAATTTTGCCTTTAGTTTTTTAAAACACAAATTCTTCCTTTCCTTTCTTTCCAGAGATGCAGGACTATCCACTGGTGGCCATCTGTGTTCAAACGTGGGACTGGGTAGGACAGAGATCACCTAGGAAGTAAAAAAGGACATGCGTTGTCCTGCAATCCTGTAAAAGTTACTCACAGCTCTGTATAGGGAACGTGGCAGTCACAAGGGCTGCAAGTGTTCTGCCCTTCACCCTCCTCCTTTGAAGGGAGGTAGGAGTCATGTGACTTGTTTTGGCCAATGAAATGTGAGCAAATGAAAATGAAAGCTTTAAAAGCTAGTGCATGCTTCCTATGAGTAGGTGAAAAGGATAGTTGTTAAATACAGATCAAATTTTTTAAAATCATACATTCTCAGAAGGCATCTCCACAAACTGATGGATGTCCTGGCTGCTTCTGTGACAGCCTCTTTCTACAGCTGAGGAACACCTCATTGGTGTGTTCCTATGAGGGCAGTGTATATGAAAAAAGGCATGTACTCCAAAACTCTTTTGTAGGTTCCTCTTTGGCTGGTTCTGAGCCTCTAGTTGCCTCTGACAAGCCAATATTAGACGTGTTTTTTTTTTTCCCTTTTTGAATTACTGATGATTAAACTCTGGGCCCCATGCTTACTAGGCACGTGCTCTAACACTTGAGCCACATTCCAGCCCTTGTGGGGTATTTTGTAATGACACAAAGTCTCATTAACTTTTTCTAGGTTGGCCTCAAACTCAGGATCCTCCTGCCACCTATCTTCTGAGCAGCTAGGATTACAAGTGTGTGCAACTCTGCCTGGCCTAGACAAATATCTCGAGCAATATTCCTTGTTGAGATTTTGTTGATAAGGAATTTTTGGTATATCTAAAGTAGCCTAAACTATTCTGATTATAGGGATCAAAGAAGTGTCCTTACATTCAGCTTTCCATTTTAATAGGGCAGAGAAGATACATTTGCTTAATGAAGAAAGAACCAGCCTCTTCTCTAGACTGCATTTCAGCTGCATTTATTACTGAGCAAAAGAGAAGACAGTTATATCATGAGATGGAGCTTTTAAGTGTGTTCCTAAAACCCTAGTTTCAACTGGGAAAAATAACTTTTTAAAATGTTTTTCCCTGAGACTCCGATGACAATTTTTCAAAGTATCCCTGCAAGCATTTAATATTTTCAGTTAATTATCCTATAGATGCCTAATATCATTAATCTGAAATTGGGGAGGGGTAAGAAGACTCCTCTATAACTCAGTTATGACTGGTCTCTATTAATCTTTCTATATTATCATCTATACAGGAAATGGAATGAAAATATTTGTAAATGTACAGATTTGCTGTGATGGCAGGTATTAACCAAAATTGTTCTTTGTCTTTTTGTTTTGTGGGAAAAACTTGCCTGACTCTGCCTATTCATTGCTAATATTGGTTAGCTGGGTAATTCATTCATTCCTTAATTGGAAATTCATTCAACAAACATTTATTGGATATCTGGTAAAACCAGGCACAGCTCTAAATCCTGCAAGGAGTAAAAGAGTCTCTGACTTCCCAAACCTTACATTTTAGTAGGAAGCTGGATCATAAACAAGCAAAGGCACAAGGTGACATCAGTGACAAGTGCTGGGGAGATGACAACACAGGGAAAAGAGAGAGTGACTGGCAGGTACATGACGTTAGAGAGGCAGGAAAGGCCTTTTGGAGAAGGGGTCATGTGAATAAGTAATGAAAGGAAGTGAGGAAGAAAAGCCACGTGAACACCCTGGGGAAGAACACATTGGGAAAGCCATGTGAACAGCCCTCCATATCTGCAGCATTCATGTCTGGCCTCAGATCAAAAATATTTGGAAAAAAATCTATCTGTAAAAAACATGGAGAGATTCCCCCCAGTTGTTATTCTGTAAACACTACAGTACAGCAACTATTTGCATGTGCTTACAGTGTAATAGGTATTAAAAGTGATCCAGAGGTGATTTCAAGTGGACTGGAGGATGTGCACAGACTCTATAAATAGGGCCTACTCTGTTTCTGATGGGAAGCCATCAGGGTTTGGGATGGGGGAGGACAGTGATCAGCTTCATATTTTAAAGGATGACCTTGGAGTAGTCTGTAGAAGGCAAGAGAATAAAAAGAGAGACTTGGGTACGAGACTAGGATTAGGAGATATAGGAGTTTTGAAGCAGTTAATAAGTGGTGTTATGAGTGGTGGATTCAGGAATATATTTGAAGTACTGCTGTTAGGCTCTGCTGATTTGATGCAGACTTTGGCCAGAGCATCTGAGTGACTAATGTGTTTTTCTGATGAGGAATATATTTAAGGTGCTGTACCTATACAAATGAAAGCAGCCATGGCATATAAGAATCTAGAAGAAAGGAAAGGCCTGGAGAATTAAAGCAGATATTCAATGGATAAGTGGATTTAAGTCCATGAAATTGAGTGAGATTCCTAAGGGAATGAATGTAGTAAGAGAAGAGATGTCTGAGGACTGGGTCCTTGGGTACTGTCAATATTTAGAGGTTGAAAAGCTGAATAGGAACCAAGAAAAGGGACTGAAAAGGAACAACCATTGAGAACAGGAGGACACTCAGGCTCAGTGACACATCCCAAATCTTCATGAAGAATGTGCCAAGAAAGAGGGAGGTGTAAGTAACTATGAGGATGCTACTAAAAGGCTGATGACTTTGAGTCTTGAACACTGAAAGTGGCTGCACGGAGATCATTGTGACATTTACATCAGGATCAGTGGTTGGGTGGAAGCCAAGGGCCTAATTAGAATTGGTTCAGGTAAGAATGAAAGATGAGAAAACAGGAAGAATATATTTGAGAGTTCTTTGCTATGAGGTGGGAGGTGGGGGCGGATAGCTATGTGGTAGATATGAAGTCAGAAAAATTCATTATGAAGGTGGTAGTTACTGTAATATACCTGAAAGCAATTGTATTATTTAGTAGAGACAAAGGAATCAGCAGAGGGATTCCTCCTTAAGTAGACAAGTGGGGATGGCAGATAGGATACTAAGTGGTGAGCTGACCATATCAGCTGGAGCCCAGACCTTGCATGTTCTAGATTAGTGCAGATAATGTATGTATGTGGTTGTAGGAAGATACTGTGATTGTCCTTGTTTGCTTTGGTTTTCTAAGAAAAATGAGAATCAAGGTCATCAGATGAGTATGAGGAAGGGGTGGAAGTGTAAAATAGTTTTCTACCAAGAGTAGTGTAAATTGTCCAAGGAATTAAGATTGCTGAGCAGATTTGAAAGTCCTTTGATATTAGTGTCACGTCTTAAAGCAAAACCAACCAATGTAGTTGTTTTTGTCCAGGATGGATAGGGAGAAAATCCAAGAATGATTACATTCCATCATGATAGTAGTTTTGCCAACTGAGTGATGGGTAGTAGCGTTGGGCAGAGATGGACTGGGGACAGATCCAAGAGGAAGATTCCTGGGTGGCAACACGCTGAGTAAAGAAGATGCTGAAGAAGATGGTACATGAAGACGTGGTCAGTAGCATTTAGACACCATAGATGTCAAGTCCCTGAAGTTGGGGCACTAGAGGAAATAAGCTAGAAATACCTTGGAAATAAAAAGTTGGCAGCATTTCTTAAGTTTAATTTCAAAAAAGGCATTTAAAAATTACTTGCTTTTGCTGCATGCTGGGAGAAAAATGTATTTTTTCAGTTTGACTTCAATTCATTTTGTACCAGGATATTTCCACTGATATTCTTGGGTAAGTCATTAAAATTAGTCAACTATTTCTGTGTCTTCAGCCATAAAAGGAGATGAGTGAGAAGCAGAATTGAATACTCTGTGATCATTAGATCCCAGAGTGTCACTGCTTTGTGGCAGGTGAGAATTGCAAGGCTGTCATTTCAGTTGGGCCATCAAGCCTCATTTAAGGAGATAAACCTGGAAGATAAGGTCTTGGTTGGCACAACAAAAGCAGCTTTGTCATATCACACATGAGCAGTCATTAGAGAGATGTCATCTATTGGGTTGTTAAGAGAATAGCACACAAACTCTCTCCATTATAGATTTGTCATGTACATTTTTCTTGAAGCATTAGGGAATTAAAGAAAACCTTGCTGTGGAAATATAAAAATGTTCTCATCAGTGATTGGGCAGGGGTAAAGAGTGTTTATATAAACATACAAGCATATTTAATATGACAAGTGAATCTTTTTTTTCTTTTTTGGTACTGGGGTTTCAAACCAGTGTCTATACCTTAAGCCACCCTGCCAGCTCTTTTTTGTGATTTTTTTTTTGAGATCGGGTCTCACAAACTATTTGCTCAGATTGGCTTCAAACCATGATTCTCCTGATCTCTGCCTCCTGAGTGGCTAGGATTCCAGGCGTGAGCCACTGGTGCCTGGGGACAAATGAATTTTGTCTTTGTTATATAATGTCTTGGACATGACTGACTAGAACTATTACACTAGTCATATTCATTTCATCTTTATTGAAAAACTACTTGAAGTATTTTCTTTCTTTTTTTGGTGGTACTGGGGTTGAACCCAGGGCTTTACACTTGCTAGGCAGGTGCTCTATCCCTTTATCCATGCCCCCCAGACCTTTTTGCATTGATTATTTTTAAGATAGAAACTTACTCTATTCCCTAGGCCTACCTGGACCATGACCTTCCTATTTGTGCTTCTCCACATAGCTTGGGATGGTAGGCATGCCCCATCATACCCAGTCATTGCCTGACATGAGATCTCTTGAACTTTTTTGTCCTAGCTGGCCTCAAATGGCTATCCTCCTGATCTCCACCTCCCAAGTAGCTGGGATTGCAGGAGTGAGCCACACACCCAGCCTAAGTCTTTTCATATACATTGTGTTTTTAGGGAAAAATTTAACATATGTTGTCTAGAAGTGAAGCCAGCTGAATTGAAACTAAAATATGATAATTAGCACTTTTATTAACTATCCAGCTGGCACACTTTGCAAATGTTATCTCAGCATCTAGCATTGGTTTTATTTTGGTTTCCAATTTCCCTATTTTCTCTATTCTATTTTTTTGGGTGGGGTTGAGCTCAGGGCCTTATGCTTGGTAGGCAAAGCACTCTATCACTTGAGCCACTCTCTAAATGGTCCGTTTGGAAATTCCATGTTGGAGACAGGCTTTGTAAAAGTGTGAAAATAAGCAGTCTGATGACATCAATGACTTTTGAGTTTTTTTTTTTTTTTTTGTTTATAACAGCTTTATAATTCATATGAGACAAAAGTTGGAAGCCACCAAGATGTCCTTCAGTAGGTGAATGAATACATTAACTGTGATACAACAAGACAACTGAATATTACTCAGTGCTAAAAAATCCCCAAAATATCAATCCATGATAAGTCATGGAAGAAACTTTAAATGCATATCAATAAATGAAAGAAGTCAATCTGCAAAAGCTATATACTGTATTATTCCAAATATTGACATTCTGGAAAAGACTAAACTGATGGACCAGTGATTGCCAGGGGTTGATGAGAGGAAGCTGGAATGAGTAGGAAGAGCACAAAGTATTTTAAGGCAATAAAATGACTCTCTCATATACTAGAATGGTGGTTATATGTCATTCTACACATGTCTACACCCACAGAATGTACACTATGAGTAAACCCTAATATATATTATGTACTTTGAGTGAGCATGATTATCAATGTAGGTTCATAAATTTTTAACAAAACAAACTTTTGAGTTTTGTTGTGATGCTGACAAGAAGAACAAACCAATACAAAGTTTTTATAAGGGAGACAAACATGGTTAAATTAAACACTGAGTAGAACTGTGCTAATTAAGCTACAGTAAACCAACAGTCATATTAAGAGTTATGGGATGGTGGATCATCAGCCTCAAACATCCACTAATGTAGAAAGCACTCTGAAATTCTTTCAGAAAGCAGTTGCTGCCCATTGTTCTGGAATTAGAGATCCTGACAGGTCCACAAATCTTAACCTGCACTCCATTTGATAAAAACCAGTAATGCAAGAAAGAATGGAATTTGTAAGCCTGATCCTCAAAGAAATATAGACTAGAGATTGGGCACAGTTGCTCATGACTATAATCCCAGCTACTTAGGAGGCAGAGGCAAAAATTTAGCAAGACCCCCATCTCAATGATCAAGCCCAATATGGTGGTGCACGTCTATAACTACCACAGGTAGGAAGATTGCAGTCCACGGCCAGCCTGTGCAAAAATGTGAGAACCTATCTGAAAAATGACAAAAAGCAAAAAGGGCTATAGGCATAGCTTATGTGGTAGAGTGCTTGCCTAGTAAGAGCAAGGTCTTGAGTTCAAACCCCAGTACTGCCAAAAAAATTCTCCATAGAATGGTCCAGGATCTCAGAAGAAATAAAAATAGCAATGCAATGTGACCACTCTTATCTCTGAAGAGGTGAGGTTTGACTGTGGGAGGGAGCAGGTCACTGGCGATTTTGCCTTGTTCTCTCTCTTAGAGAGAGAACAAAGGCAGGTGACAGTTTGGGAAAGTCCTCAAGGTTTTTAATCTCTCTGTTGAGCTCTGTGTGTTACTACTTCAGGCTCGGCATCCAGCAATTTGGGGTTCACTGAAATTATTTTCTTTAAATACACATGATGCTGGCACTTTACTGCAACTTACATTTTATGCAGATGTATTTGATTTAAGCTTGTCAAAAGATTTTTAGGTGCTTTAAAGCTTATTCAGCATCTATTGCTTTCCAAAGAGGGGCATCTCCAGGGAAGATGTCTTCCTAGTGTGTGCTCAACGACCATCCACTTCAAAGCTGAAATTAGGTCAGTGTTATTTTGTCTCATGGTCACAGAAAGAAAATCCCAAGTGAGTAACGGGCTTGGGATTTCATTTAAGTACTTAATTTCCTGAGAAAGAAAACAGTTTTTGAGACTGAATAATGATGATACTACTGAGTAATTGTATTTTTTTCCTCTGCTCCCAGCATTCTTACTGCGACATTAGTGACAAATGTTTTTTAAAAGGTCACAAAAGCTCTGATGAATCAAAGAATGGAAGAAGTAGACTATTAATTTATGGTCCCTTATCTGAAATCTCTGGGATGGATATATTTTGGAATTCAAGAGTTTGGGCATTTTAGGAAAATAATTTTAGCAGAGTCTGGTATAGTACTTTTAAAAAAGAAAACCCTAATATTTCTGCAATGAGATATAAATATTCACACTGAAATAAAGTCTAGGACAGTCTTATATTAGTTAAGGTAACATCTTGCCTCCTATTGAATCTTGGCACTGGCTTACAAAATTAAACCAACAAAAAAAACTGTGTTTTCAAAACTTTGAATGTTTGGACTTGTATTTAGATGTGTCACTATCCTTCTCTGGATTATAGTCACTGTATTTATTAGTCTCATGAAGAAATTAAGTCTGTGTTTAACATGTAAACTCTATTATTTTGCTACTGAAATGGTCTTCAGGGACCAGTTATGTCATTATCACCTGCTGACAGTACAGAATCATGGGTCCCTTCCCACCTGCTGACTCAGAATCTGCCTTTTAATAAAATACCCTGACGATTCACATGCATGTTAAAGAAAAAGAAGCACTGCTCTAGTGTTGTCTTCATCTGCACTATAAGAAAATACCTGAGACCCCTGGCAAACCTGACTAAAATGAGGAGAGAAAAAACCCAAATTAGTAGAATCAGGAATGCAAAAGGGGAGATAACAGCAAACACCATGGAAGTCCAGGAAATCATCAGAGACTACTTTGAGAACCTATATTCAAATAAATTTGAAAATCTTAAAGAAATGGACAGATTTCTAGATACATATGATCATCCAAAACTGAACCAAGAGGAAATTAATCACCTGAATAGACCTATAACACAAAATGAAATTGAAGCAGCAATCAAGAGTCTCCCCAAAAAGAAAAGTCCAGGACCTGATAGATTCTCTGCTGAATTCTATCAGACCTTTAAAGAACTGATACCAACCCTCCTTAAACTGTTCCACAAAATAGAAAGGGAAGGAAAACTGCCAAACACATTTTATGAAGCCAGTATTACACTTATCCCAAAACCAGGCAAAGACACCTCCAAAAAGGAGATCTATAGGCCAATCTCCTTAATGAACATTGATGCAAAAATCCTCAACAAAATAATGGCAAACCGAATTCAGCAACACATCAAAAAGATTATTCACCACGACCAAGTAGGCTTCATCCCAAGGATGCAGGGGTGGTTCAACATACGAAAATCAATAAACGTAATAAACCACATTAACAGAAGCAAAGACAAAAACCACTTGATCATCTCAATAGATGCAGAAAAAGCCTTTGATAAGATCCAACACCATTTCATGATAAAAGCTCTAAGAAAACTAGGAATAGAAGGAAAGTTCCTCAACATTATAAAAGCTATATATGACAAACCTATAGCCAGCATTATATTTAATGGAGAAAAACTGAAACCATTCCCTCTAAAATCAGGAACCAGACAAGGATGCCCACTATCTCCACTCCTATTCAACATAGTACTGGAACTCCTAGCCAGAGCAATTAGGCAAGAAGAAGGAATAAAAGGAATACAAATAGGTAAAGAAACTGTCAAAATATCCCTATTTGCAGACGACATAATCCTCTACCTTCAAGACCCAAAAAACTCTACTCAGAAGCTTCTAGACATCATCAATAGCTATAGCAAGGTAGCAGGATATAAAATCAACATAGAAAAATCATTAGCATTTCTATACACTAACAATGAGCAAACAGAAAAAGAATGTATGAAAACAATTCCATTTACAATAGCCTCAAAAAAAATCAAATACCTAGGTGTAAACCTAACAAAAGATGTGAAAGAGCTCTACAAGGAAAACTATACACTTCTGAAGAAAGAGATTGAGGAAGACTATAGAAAGTGGAGAGATCTCCCATGCTCATGGATTGGTAGAATCAACATAGTAAAAATGTCAATACTCCCAAAAGTAATCTACATGTTCAATGCAATTCCCATCAAAATTCCAATGACATTCATTAAAGAGATTGAAAAATCTACTGTTAAATTTATATGGAAACACAAGAGGCCACGAATAGCCAAGGCAATCTCTCTGTCAAAAGAACAATGCTGGAGGTATCACGATACCTGACTTCAAACTCTATTACAAAGCAATAACAATAAAAACAGCATGGTACTGGCACAAAAACAGACATGAAGACCAGTGGAACAGAATAGAGGACCCAGATATGAAGCCATACAACTATAACCAACTTGTCTTTAACAAAGGAGCTAAAAATATACCATGGATAAATAGCAGTCTCTTCAACAAAAACTGCTAGGAAAACTGGTTAGCAGTCTGCAAAAAACTGAAACTAGATCCATGTATATCACCCTATACCAAGATTAACTCAAAATGGATCAAGGATCTTAATATCAGACCCCAAACTCTTAAGTTGATACAAGAAAGAGTAGGAAATACTCTGGAGTTAGTAGGTATAGGTAAGAACTTTCTCAACGAAACTCCAGCAGCACAACAACTAAGAGATAGCATAGATAAATGGGACCTCATAAAGCGTATGAATCAGCTTTCATTTGATTCCAAGTCTTAAGGGCGAAGGCTAAGGTGGAATACTTTAGTTGTTCACACTCTTGGAAAATGCAGATTTCTGTATTTCTTCCTTGGTTGGTCCTCTTCCCTGCAGCACACACCCAAATGACCCTATATAGCTTTAACATTCACTGTTTCCTTCCTTCCCTCCCTCCCTTTCTCCACCTCTTTCCTCTCTTGTTTTCTGTGAAAAATCAGGATGACAATGTTTGATATTTAAGTGGGTCATCTAATCCTTTTATTTATATTTATTGTAATTCTTGATCCATTGGGACATATCTCTTTTATTTCATACTTTCTATTCTGTTTCTTTTCTTTTCCTTGTATTCTTTTGAATGATAATTTTTTCATCATGCTCCTTCCTCTGGTAGTTTGTTATATACTTTATCTCTGTGTTTTTGTAATAATCTCAAAAATACTTCAAAATGGTGAGGAATGATTAAAATAGTATTGGCATCTCAAAGCATTATTGTGAGGATAAAATGAGTATAATGTACATAAATGCTTAGAATACTGATGGACTGCTATGGTCTAGATGGAATCTAAGGGTGGACCAGAGGTCCATAATGAATGGTTTTTGTCCCAAGGGTTAGCAGTATTGGGAAGTGCTGTGGACCTTTAAGAGGTGGGGCCTAGTGTGAGGTCTTTGGGGGCATGCCCCTAATGGGAATTGTGAGACCCTGCTCCACTCCCTCTCTACTTCCTGGCTCATGATTTATGAGTGACCTCACACGTCAGGTCACTTGCTCTGATGTGTGCACCTGCCATAACCATCTGCTGACCTCATTAGACTCTAAACCAATGGAACTGCCTGATCTTGTCTTTATAACCTCAGGGATTTTGTCATAGTAACAGAAAGCTAACTAATACACTGGCATGAAGGAAACATTTATTGTTAGCAATCTTAAATATATTATTGATAAAATTGCTGTTATTGGATGTTCTCTATTTCAAAAGCATATTGGGAGCTAAGTATTTAAATCAAACCAAGTGTCTGTCACATACTAACCAACCCAGCTTCAGTGTTTGTTGGCATTAATTTTTTTGTCCTATGGTTTTATTCATAAGTCAGATCTAAGCATCCTCTGAATTCAGGAAGTACCTGTTGAAATCCTTTAAGATGTTTGTTTCCAGAAGACTGCAGAAGTTAAATCAAGATATTTGCAGAGGAATGATTGACAGCTTGTGGGTAGACCAGAGAACATTCTTCCCACCATAACAGAGAGAAAAGTGGTAGTATAAAAGTGAGCATTTCTTTAAACTGGAAGTTAGTACTTTTAGAACAATTTAACACAAATCACTATTGTTGAAATATTCAGATTTTCCGTGGAAATCTTCATTAACATAAATTATGTTCATTTTTGAAGTTGTACCAGTGGAGAACCTGTTTCTCCCCAGTTTTCTAGCATCTTTCATTTCTTTCTAGCTAATCTCACAGACTAGAGAGTTTAAAACACTATTTACCTCTCTAGTAGATAGTCAGCAACAGGGGTTGCATTTATAAGTCATATTCTGTTTTCCCTTTAAGTTATTTGATAATTTCAGAGAACTTTATTCCTATTTCTGATTCATGTTCAACTGACAATACTTGTGATTTCATTAGCTTCCATTCTTACTGACATGAAAACATACTTTTAAATGGATTACCTCTACAAGAAATGTTGTAGTAAAATAAGGATCTTTTTTGTAATGCAAATAATCTTTTGTTCACCATTGTCTCTAGAAATTTTTCATGTTCTTTAAGCCTGTATCTCCATAGTAGATTGCCTTCATTTTGTTTTTTATTGTGGGTAAAAAGAATGTGCAAATATAATTTCTGGTTACTTATTCTGTCTAATTTCTCCAGTTGGAGATTATTATCATAAAGAAAATTGTCTACCCTTTCCTTGGTGTTAAAAGCTAAACCAAGGCTTGTGATGTTATGCTCAAAAGGGTATTTATTATGAAATATGATTTAATTATTTGTTCCCGGTGTAAAGAGTCAGTTTCCTATTGGTGTACCCCAAAGATAGTGAATATGATATAACCTGTACTTAGGGCTTGTACAGTGGCTGTGTATGGGTCAAGGCTGAGAGGTGAACAGATGTAAGATGAAGATGGGACCCAAATGGGGCTCTTTCACGTCTTGTCTTTCCCATGATAGAATCCATCTTGTCTTTCCCACAAAAAGAATGGATTGCTATTTATTATAAACCTAATACATGTTCAAGATAAAGGGACAATAAAGAAAGAGGAGGAAATGACCTATGATCCCACCCCTAGAGGTGATAGCTGTTGCTAACATCTTGTCAAAGGCTGGCACGTTCCCTTGAAGACATTTCCCTATGCACCCATGGGCTGCTAGAGGTTCAAGTCCCACTGCAGCCTGCACACCCCCAACATTTCTCACAGCTGGGTGCCTGGGTTGTCCTCCACATGGTAGCCACAGGGTGAGAACAGGCTGATGGGCTGGCGGAAGAGCACCAAAACCTGATCCATTGTCAGAGGGAAAAATGGGATGTCATCAGGGCCCAGAGTTCCCTCAACACATGCTTCCTCTTAACTCTGATGCAGTCCTCAAAACTTTCCTTCAAATTCTAAATCTTTTTTCCATTTTTTTAGAGAACAAACTGCTCCCAAAGTTTCACTTAGGCCTGTCCTCCAAGCTGGCCTGGGTAGACTATGGGTGACTTCAGGTTTCTTTACGGCATTTGTATCCTGCGCCTCCTTTTTATAATGCCACCAGTGAAGGGGCAACTGGCCCCTGCTAGAGCAATCTGGAGGTGGGTCCTTTGTACAGCCTCGAAAGGCATCTTAACCGCCAGTGCACCACGCTAAAGGGAGAGCATTGTCTTGTCGTTCTCACATAAACTTTAGTGCTGACCCAATTCGTTTTATTTTTCCATTAATAAATCTCAATTTTCACTTGACCTATTCAGTGTAGTTTTTAATAGTTACATAACATCATTGCATGAATGTCCCTTTACTTACTTAACCAAGTGTTTATTTGACATTTATTTCCAGTTTTTCAATAATCTAATTAACACTGCAATAAATATCCTTTTATTTGAGATTTATTCTTAGAAGAGAGATTGCTGGCTTAAAAGATGTATACATATTATAAATATATAAAATTTGACTACAGATAATTTATATGTATATATTTATATTATATTCTCATATATATAGTATTATTCAATTTTTATATTTATTAATTTATATATATATATATATGCATACATATCTGTACTAAACACATACAGACTTTTTTCTTGTTATTCCTTAAACAATACAGCATGGTAATTATTTACATGGCATTTCCATTGTGTTGGGTTTTATACTTGACTTAGACATTATTTAACATTTATGGAAAGATGTGCGTAGGCTGTTTGTAAATAATGTGCCATCTTCTGTAAGGGAGAATTTGGGGTCTGCAGTGGTCACAGAGCCAGTTCCCTGAGAGTCCTTGAGGGATGACTGGCTAGTCTAAGTATCCCACAGGAGAATTTTACCAATGTACATTCTTGCAAGAGAACATGAGAATGTCCTTATCCCAGAACCTCACAGTGGTGGTCATTTGCAGTCCTTTTGGCTTTTGTCACTAAGGTGGATACGACCTTAGAGTTGATTTGTAATTAGGTAGTGGTGAAGTTGAGTACCTTTCCATATCTGTATTAACTCTCTCTGTTGTCATAATTTTGCTCATTTTTTTGGTGCTTTTTCTTGTTGATCCCTATTAGCTTTGTATATAGTGAGGCTACCAATTTTTGCCTATTTTTTTGTAGTTGTGCAAATATTCTCCTTAGTTTTCCATTTGTCCTTTAACCTTAGTTTGGTTTTTGTTTCCTTCCCTTCACAAGTGCTACCTATCAGTATTTTCCGAGTTGTTTCTGGCTTTGATGGTGTGAGCCTGCAAAGCTCTTCTCATGCCAAAAATACCAAACTGTTGGAAACTAATGTTGAAATGTCACTTTCAATATTTGTTAAATGCTCCTACATAATTAGTTCTGTTTTGAAGCCCTGTAATTTTGTTCTTTTAATCTACCTGTCTTTGTCAATGGCAGTTTCTTAGTGTCTTGAATACTTACATCTGTCAGTAAGGATAAGTAAGGATACATACTTACATCTAACAGAACAAGCACACCTGTTATCTCCTTTTTCAAGAAACTGTTTCGATCTCTTCTTGAATGATTATTCTTTCAAATAAATGTTCAATATTTTGTAAAGTTTCAAGGATGATCACAGGGGAATTTGTATTTAAATTACATTAATTTTTTATCTAATTCATGGGAGAATTGACATCTTTGTAGTAGTAAGTCATTCAGTCTCAGCTATGGCACAGCATTGTCTGTCTTTATCCCTTTAATTTTTTTCAGATTCTCAAGGCCGGTTTCAAAATTTTCAAATCTCACTCTACCAGGCTTTTTATAATGTTGGGAATTGAACTCAGGACCTCTAGCATGCCAGACAAGCACTCTATCACTTGAGCCCCACCTCCAGCTCCCTCTACCAGCAACGCCCCCCCCCCACCGCCGCCCCGCCACGAGGCCCCAGTCTAATGTTACTTTACTCTTCTGAACCTGAGTGTTCAACTTTCTCTTCTCACTAGGGTTTTAACTTATAGCATTGGTTTTACTTGTTCCATTTCATATTGTATTTATTACAGAAGTAACTGAAGCAACTCAGGAAACAAAGAACCCTATTAAAAAGTGGGTGAGAGCCCCAAATAGACATTTCTCAAAAGAAGACAAGCAAATGGCCAGCAGATACATAAGAAAATGGTCACCTTCACTAATTATCAGGGGAATACAAATTAGAAGTACAATGAGACATCATCTCATACCTGTTATAATTCTTATTGCCAGATTATATATCAAACTTTATGTTTTGTGTTTATCAGAGGTACAGTTTGCAACTGTTTTCTCCCATTCCATAAGTTGTCATTACACTGTCGATTGCTTCCTTTGTTGGGCAGAAGCTTTTTAGTTTGATACAATTTCATTCATCTCTTTTGCTCTTGTTGCTTTTGGGGTCATATCCAAGAAATTATTGCCCAGGCCAGTGTCGTGAATTTTTCCCTCTGCGTTTACTTACAGTTTCAGACCTCGTGTTCATTTTAAGCTGTGATCCATTTGTGGTTGATTGTGTGTGCATGAGAGGACAGGATTGTATGCTAGCCCTCGTATTTATTTGCTGCTAAAAGCACAGTGGTTTGATATGGATATGATCCTAGAATTTTTCTGATTTCAGCAAGCTAGATAACCAAGGATGTTCTGCAAGTCCTAGCTCCATTGCCCAGGTTTGAGAAATGAGCTCTGGGTGCCTCATTTGTAAAAATAAAGAAATTGAAGTGCCAGATCAGGTCCTATGATTCCCCTCACCTCAGATAAGAAACAGGTCATTCTCACTGGTCACAAGGACCAGTGATTTTGCTGGTTGCTGCATGGATCATCCAGTCCTGCTCTTGTCATTAGCAGTCAGTGGGAGGTGTATGAGGTCTCTCAGACATGCATGTGTCTGCTCAAAGCTCACTTATTTTTTCTTCTGCTCAAACTTGCATGTGCACGCACACACACACACACACACACACACACACACACTCACTCTTGTAAAACCTGAGACCCAAATTAATTTTCACTAGCTCAGTATATAGCATCATGCTGTTCATCTCACTGAACCCTGAGTTGTTTGGAGATAATGAGCTAAGCTGAATAATCTTTAACACATCTGACCAGGTGGAAACTCTTTCTAGAAGGATAATTCATTTGTGCACATGATGTTTCATTGTAAATCCTCTAGCACACCACTGATTACTTATTTACTTTAGTGGTACCGGGGTTTGAATTTGGGGCCTTGCACTTGCTAAACAGGTACTCTACCCATTGAGCCATGCCCCCAGCCCCACACCACTGGTTAGTTTCTGCAGAAATCCATGTAAGGAATTCCCTACCTTGGAAAATTATGCTCATCAGCAGCATAAACCTATGGAAATGACCTGCTACATGTTTCATTTGGAAAAACTCTCTTCCTCACAGCTCAGCAGATGTTCCCTATGAGTGGTATATGGGAGTTGTTATGTTTGCAGCAGTAAGAGAATCAAGAAAGCAAAAGGGAAAAAGTATTAACATTTATTTCTTGCCTTCTGCATGGAAGCTACTTAGATATTTTATTTTTGTCATGAAGTCATTATTATGCCCTTAATGTAAAGAAATTGTTGCCCAGAGAGGGCAAGAAACTTGCCCAGAATTCCTCAGTGTTAAATGGCAAAGCAGAGATATCAACAAGCATGTTCTGCCCCTACCAGGTTGGGCCTCAGTCTAGAGGCTAGAGGCCCTGAGCACCTGGCCACAGGTATGACACAGGGCTCTGCTCTGTCATTGCCTCAGCTAACACAGATTATGTCTGAGAAAATGGAAATGGAGGCTGTGTCCAACAGGCAGAGTTAAGATGACACCCACAAGGGAGAAATTTGCAGATTCCCAGCATTTATCATGGCTTCATCTCAGTAGTGAGGAAAGCTTGCCTTCCCTGGACTCCATCAAATTCAACTTCTCCCTCCTCTTCTTGCTGAGGAGGCCAAGGCTGTGGTGTTTACTTCTGCCCTTTTCCCTTAGAGACATGCTAGTCATTTAGAAAACATCTCAGGAATAAAATTCACTAAATGCTGCCTTGGAAAAGATGCCAATTAAGCCCTGTGGGCATCCAGGGATGCAACAGTGACGATCACTTTCTGTTCCTGTGGCCTGCTGACAAGGCCGGGCGGTGGAGATGAAGTGGTGCTCCCAACTCTCGTGGGTCTCATGGGCTTTGGCTTGGAGGCCTCCAGGGTCCTCCATTGGGCTCAAGGCCATGGACTTTTTCTCTTATAATATCTGACTTTGTCATTTTGAATTCATGACCACCTGGCTGTGGGGGTTCTTTGCATTGATAACTGTCTCCTGACTTCCAAAAGAAAAGTAACTTCTTAAGATATTGTACTTAGGTTGGGTGTTGCCAGTGCATAATCTTGAAAATGACCACTGATTATTTCACTTGTTCTTAAGGCTTTCTCTCCTCTTTGCCCCTGTGTCTTCTCTTTTTACTCTCCTCTAGTGTATCACACATGGCCTGTTCAATTCTTTTTGTTTTTTTTTTAATTTTTATTGTTTTATTATTCATATGTGCATACAATGCTTGGGTCATTTCTCCCTCCTGCCCCCACCCCCTCCCTTATCCCCCCGCCCCCTCCCTCTCCCCCCACCCTCTGGATACCCGGCAGAAACTATTTTGCCCTTATCTCTAATTTTGTTGAAGAGAGAGTATAAGGAATAATAGGAAGGAACAAGGGTTTTTGCTGGTTGAGATAAGGATAGCTATACAGGGAGTTGACTCACATTGATTTCCTGTGCATGTGTGTTACCTTCTAGGCTAATTCTTTTTGATCTAACCTTTTCTCTAGTTCCTGGTCCCCTTCTCCTGTTGGCCTCAGTTGCTTTTAAGGTATCTGCTTTAGTTTCTCTGCGTTAAGGGCAACAAATGATAGCTAATTTTTTAGGTGTCTTACCTATCCTCATATCTCCCTTGTGTGCTCTCGCTTTATCATGTGATCAGAGTCCAATCCTCTTGTTGTGTTTGCCCTTGATCTAATGTCCGCATATGAGCGAGAACATACGATTTTTGGTCTTTTGGGCCAGGCTAACCTCACTCAGAATGATGTTCTCCAATTCCATCCATTTACCAGCGAATGATAACATTTTGTTCTTCTTCATTGGCCTGTTCAATTCTCCTCTGAACCCTGTGAGATTACTTTTGCAACTTATTTGAACCATCACGTTTTGTTGGTGGATTTTCTATTCTTGGAGCCTTGCCATCTTCTGGTTCCCGCTCTTCCCCCTAGAAACTACATCCACAAGGAGATGTACAGGGTTTGTTTGAAAGAACACTGGGACACATCTGAAGCTGACCAGTGCCTTTGCAATTAAATGGCAGGAAAACAGTCTTAATGAACTGGTTCTTAAAAATGTGAAATAATGAAGTAAAAGTCTAACAGGAAAGTAAAAACAAAGTTTTCATCTTGATTCAGTTTCTGATCAGTTAAATGGTATCTCAATAGTTGTAGCTAAAGAGCAAGGCCCCCAAAACAGTTACTTGAATACTGAAATTCATATATTTTCCCTTTAAGCATTAAGATTATTACCATGATTTTAGGACCATAATTGTAAAATATTGACTTGGAATATCTTTCTATGAGTATTTTTGTCTCCATCAGCTAAGGTGAAATACATTAAAAATGTGGAGTGTAATGGAATATTATGAAAAACCATAAATGATAAACTCTAGGCTCACAGGACATGGCTGAACCTTAGCAATGGCTGATGGGAAAAGGAGGCTCCAGAAGAACAGTGTGATGCCCTTTTCAGGAAAATTTGGAACCAGGTAAACTTCAAAATATACTATTATTTCTACAAAGAAGGAAACACACACATAATTCAGGACAGTGATTATGGTGGGGGGTGAGGTAAGCACATAGGTAAATATTGGTGATGTTCTGAATTTTTTGGATTAGCTTATAAACTCTTCATATTATTAAAACTGATTTTTGGCAGTACTAGGATTTGAATTTAGGGCCTTGTGCTTGCTAGGCAACTGCCCTACCCCTTGAGCTACACCTCCAGCCCTTCTTTGCTTTCATTACTTTTCAGATAAGATCTTAGATCACTATACTTCTACCTACACCTCCATGTAGCTGAGAATATAGATGTAAACCACCATGTTTATCTGGTTTGTTGAGATGAGGTTTTGCTAACTATTTTTTTTCACCTCAGCTTACCTCAAACTGTGATCCTCTCAATTTCTGCCTCCTGAGGCATAAAACTGATTGTTTTTAAAAGGCCCGCACATGAACCAACGATAGTTCTTCCTAATTAGAAACTATAAATTTTAATCATCCATCCAAAATCCCTTGAAACAAATTGCAAGGTTTCCATTCCAAATTTGGGGTGTCTAAAGTTTCTGCTATTCCCATTTGTTCTTTGGATTTATTGCTAAGATCCTTAGGGAGCAAATGGGCCTAATGGCTCCTAGTGGCAGGAACAGTGGCCAGGTGGGAACACATAGTACATCAGCTAGGGAGTGGTGGGGAGGAGCTTGTGGTTTGGGCTCATGCTCTCTGCCAGACCGGCACTGGTGACTCTGCTTTAGATGTCATAGGAGGGTCTTCCCTGCCACCCAATCTAAAGTGGCCCAGTCCTAGCTCTAGGGACACTGTCTCATTGACCTTTGCATTCTCTTTGCAGCACTTAGTACTCATTGAGGTTATCCTATTCATGTGAGTGTTTATGGTTCTGTGATTAGAATTAATCTCCAGGAGGACAAGAATCATGACTGGCTTGCCATTGACTTCCTGGTGCCCAGAGCAGTGTTTAGCACAAAGAAAGCATTCAGGGACTGAACATGTAATCCTAGCTACTCAGGAGGCAGAGAGAATCACAGTTCAAAGTCAGCCTGGGCAGGTAGTTCTTAAGACCCTATCTCGAAAAAACACTTCACAATAAAGGGCTGAAAGAGTGGCTGAAGGTGTAGGCCCTGAGTTCAAACTCCAGTATCACACACACAAAAAAAAAAAATTCAGGAAATGAAAATGAAATTGAAGATTAAAAAGCACTCATTTGATCTCACAACAAGTTTTACTTTCATTATAATCCTATTTAAATGCTAAATGACACACCCTCCAACAGTGTGACTGTTGACAATTCCCATGGTGATGACTGGAAAGAACCATAAAAGGAGCAAATATAGGTAACTGCCACGTTCCTGGGAAATCCCAGTCCATCCCCAGGAAAGATGTGATTATTCCTCCCTCTTAAGAGCCTGTAACTCCCCTTATTTATTTTACTCTAGATCTGTAACCGTCCAGTCCTCGGGGGTTGAGAAGATATTTACCTCCTTTCTCTTCTATTCTTGGCCAAAAGTAAAAGTCTCCTCTCTACCCAATAAACAAACAAACAAACCAACAAACCACCATTGTTCGGTATGGCCATCATCACATACATGACCAAATTAAATTGTGTCCCATGAACTTGCAGGAAACTTTCCTATTTTTCTGGAATAATATTACATGGGTGGAAAATAACTGCTGGAAAGGCAATTAATAAATGGCATGATCCATTAGTGTACATTTATGTAAATATTGCTGAAAGAAGGAAGTTGACATCAGATGGTCTGAGTGTGCATTCCTGTGCATTGTGTTTTGGTTTCCTGGTGATCAAAACTGGGTTAATTAGCTGACAATGGCTCATTCCTATTAGGGATATGAAGAGTATCAGCTCTGTGCAACTTGTTTTTCTTAGCTGAGAAATCACTCTTAAATTTAAAGAGCTGTTTGCCTGACCTGTTTCTTTTCTATTTGATGGGAACTTTTAGTGGGAAAAAATTGCTAGAATGAAATAATTAAATGCATTCTGTATTTTTCATAGGTGGATGCATTCCACTCTGACTTCACAACTGGAGCCCCCTGACGTTGGAGGGAATTCAGCAATCCAGGGGTGTTATTAACTCACTGCTGTCTAAACTCATTTTTAGAATAAGTCAGGTCATTGAAAGCCCAGCACACTCCAACCATCTTGTCTTAGTTCCCTGTAGGAGGCCTGCACTGCGTTGAGGTGCTTGCTACAGTTCTTTGGAAGGATGGCCGTGAGAAACACACATGAAGAATGGTTTTTGTGCTACTTATTTTTAAAAGTGGACTTATTTTCTTCTTAATTTTTCAATTGACATATAAAACATAAACACATATATATCAATAGGGTACCATGTGACGCTTCCACGACTATACCTTGTGTAATGCTTAAAGCGAGTTAAATGTCTTTTCAAACATTTAGTATTTCTTTAGGGCGAAAATACTCAAAATTCTTTTTTCTAGCTGTTTGAGATATCTAGTACCAGTCATCATCCATATTCACTGCTCTACAGAAAAACTTCTTGATCCTATGAAGGTGACTTAGTGAAAAATGATGATAGTGAAAAGAGATCCCATAAACCTGCACTCAGTTGCTCCTAGTATTAACATATTACTGCTACAATAAGATGCACTTGTTAGAATAAATGAATATTGATACATTATTATCAACTGAAGTCTGTAGTTTTTCATATGTCCTTAGTTTTTACCTAATGCCTTTTTTTCTTTTCTCTTCCTTTCACTCTTCTTTTTTCAGTGTCAGGATTTGAACTTAGGGCTTTGAACTTGCTAGGCCATGGTCTCCTGCTTGAGCAACACTTACAGCCCAGTTGGCTCTGGTTACTTTTGAGTCAGTATCACTTTTTGCCTAGGCAGTTCTAGAGCATGATCCTTCCATTTTATGCTTCCTGCCATTGCTAGGATTACAGGTGCATGTTGCCACACCCAGTTTTATCCATTCAGAGTGGGGAGTCTCACAAATTTTTTGCTGGGGCTGGCCTGGAACCATCATCCTCTTAATGTCAGCTTCCTGTGTCGCGTGGAATGATAAACTCCCACACTGTGTCCAACCACTGGTTGAGATGGGGTCTTGTGAAGTGTATGTCTAGGATAACCTTGAATTGTGATCCTCCTGATCTCTGCTTCCCAAGTAGCTAGAATTACAGGCATGAATCACTGGTGCTTGACCCTAATGTCCTTTTTTGGGGGTCTGGATGCTTGCCTCAAGTGGTGCAGTGCCTCTGTAACAAGAACTAGTCCTGATTTCAAACCCTGGTACTGCCTAATGTCCTTTTCTCCTTTTCAGGATTCTGTTGTGGTTCCCATATTACATTGAGTGCTCAGGTCTCCCGGTCTCCTTAGGTCCCTTATGGCAATTTCTCAGACTTTGGGTTTTTTTTTTTTTTAATGAAATTCTTAGGGCAATCAGAAAGTATGTGTGTGTGAAGAATCTATATAAACCACCATCCAGCCTCAGAAATGTAGAACATTACAGCTCTGAGTGAAGCCCTTTGTGCATCCCTCTCAACCCCATTCCCCTTTCCCCACCAAAGACAATCATTGTCTTCAATTTGATGTTTTCTTTCCATGCATGCTTTGAAACAGCTATATGTAGTGTTGCTTTGCATAATAAAATGATAGGAGTATTATCCTGTAAGCATTACTCTACAGTTTGCTTTCTATCACTTGACACTTTTTGATTTACGTTGCTCCTATTTGTTAATTCTAACATCAAAATCACATTCCATTATATCAATCCACTGTCAGGTTGGTGAACACTTGTGGCTTTTCTTTCTGTATTGCTGTGGTCAGTGCAAACACTGCTGAGACTACAAAGTTTCTTTTTTTGCCATGGCTACTAGGAATCTCCCATCTAAATTTCCTGCCCAGCTGCCATGGCTGGAAGATCTTAAGTACATTTGGTATAGTTTTATGGTGGCTTTTTAAACAAAGGGCTTTCTTTTTGTATTTTTATATGCATTGTTTTGCATCCCAAATCATTTTGGAAGAAACTAAGGTAAAAATTTTAGGAGAGAAGAGAAATTGGTAAATTATTGGTCACCTGGATTTTAGTTTTTCAGAGACAAAGGGCTTTCTTTTCTTTGATTTTGGGGTGTTTTCTTAGGAGGCTTCCATGCAAGCATGCTTGCTTGATCTCAGTGTGTATTCGCTAAGTTAATTTATTGTTCATCAAGAGTCAATTTGTCCTCTAAATACTTCACTTAGCTGCAGATTGTCTTTTTAATCACTACCACCAACACACGCACAAACAGAACTCCTCGGCGATTCCAACTGGCTGTGCTGCTATCTTTGGGAACATTTGTCTTGCCTTTAACCACTCTTCTTCTCTGTGACATTGTTTATTTTCATTATGCCTTAATTATGGGATTCTGATAACCGTGGAGGAGTGAGAGAGCTGAAAATGGGGTTTTGTGGGTGATTAAATGCTAAGCTGAGATGTTTGATAACTACAACAGTTGTTTCTACTATTATTTTCCAAAGGAGGGAATGTCATTGCTAGCACAAGAGAGGAAGGGGAGAATGCCTCCTACAAATCGTTCTGGTCGTTTTCTTAACTATTGTGCTTTTGGAAGCCCAGTGCTTGCTCATCTGATATGTTTTTGACTGTCAGTTGCCAGTAGCTGGCTCCCCTTGGCAGGCTTTCTGAAGGACAGGTCCTCAATGGGAGCATGCCACTTGTCTAAATGAGTGGTTGAAGTGGATAGAAGTGTCATGACTTGCTGTGTGGTCTGAAAAATTACATTTGAGCAATTGTAATTGAGCTCACTATTACAAGAGCTTATGAGGTTTTAACGAATGATTTAGGGCTAGCAAGCAGAGATGCTTTTGGCTTTAGGTAATACAAAATGCCATGAATGGTGATATTAAACCATACGGTTGCTTTTTCTCACATGACAAATGTTAACGTAGGCAGTTCAGCTGCTGGCAATGCCATAACATATCCAGATTCTTTGGTGCT